CTTACAGGAATTCAGTTTAAAAAAAAAACAACAAAAAAAACCACCTCCCCCCAAAAAACCCAACCCAAAAAACATCCAAAAAACCCACACAAAACACCAACACAAAAACAGACAAACAAAACCACCAAGAAGAAAACCCACAACTGAGGCAACATCTCAAAAAGTTATGACAGTCAGAGGTTGACTATTTCACACTGATATCACTGGTATTTTTAACTGTACAGAACTCCTTAGCTGTGGAATTGTTCCCTCAGTGTAGAGGCTGGAAGCTGGAGTAGTCATGTCAGAAAACGAAGAAAACGAAAGAAAACGAAAGAAAACAATCCTACACTGGCCAGTTTAAGGTATGACTAATAGATGACTTAGAAACTTCCTTTGTATTTCCCACTGGAAAACATCAGTGTTCATGTGAACTCCAAGAGATCTTAACTAAGAACTTAAGAATGGCCTAGTGGGTCTTTAAGTGCCCATTTATGCCAGTTCTATGGATCCCCAGGGAAAAATAAGGACAAGGAAACCTACTTCCCAAATAGCCTCCAAATATCCAATTAATTTCCATGCTGGAGATTTCCCAAGCTAGATGAAGTTTACATTCTTTACAATGGCATCCTTCTCTGGTATTTTACCAGTCTATCCCAAACTCATGCAAGTTTTTATCATCCCCAACATCCCTTGGCAAGTCTCCCACTATCTGCTGTATGGATCTAACAACCCAAGTCAGCAAAAACAAAAACATGAGTCAAAGGCAAAAAGGAGCCTGGGCTGCATCCACAGAGGTATTAGTAGCAGAGGGAGATGCAAACCTACCACTCTAATGAGCACTTAGCAGGCCACATCTGGGGAGTACTGTGTCCAGTGCTGGTCCCCACAATTCAGAGAGTAGGCAGACAGACTGGATGTGTTCCAAAGGAGGGCCAAGATGATGATCAAAGTGCTGGACAAACTAGCCTATGACAAAAGGCTGAGGAAGTCAGGTCTTTTCTCTTTGGAGAAAAGGCATCTTGGGGGAACTCATCACAGGATTTCAGTACTTAAAGGGCTGCTACAAAGAGGACAGAATCTCTCTTCACAAGAAAATACACTGAGAAGACAAGGGGCAACAGGTACAAGTTGGTAACGAGGTAACTATAACTTCACCATATAATCTAATGGCCTGAAGGCCATTACAGAGAGAACATAACTTCAGTATTCAGAACAGCTGGCTATCCTCTGTAGCTACAAGCAGCACCAGTGCATAAAACCAAGCCTGCATAACACATAAGGCTAAGCTGGATGCACACAAGCTGTAGTCCAGTGCTGAACTGCAAACTACTGTCTGCAGTCCTTAGGAGCAGTTATAAGGCACACCTTGACCCCCTGCAGGTGGTGGGCCTAGCTGTCCCAGGCCAAGTGGGATTTGGATGCATTACTTGTCCAAGAAAGCACAAGAGTTCAGCTGGGCAGGCATGGACCTGCAACTCACTTCACAATTGAGCAATATATTGAAAAGTAACAGGATACAAGGAATTCTTCACCTCTTGCTGACCACGAGGACTATATAAGCACTTTAACCAAAGCCTAGTTGTTCCCTTACTGCGGTAGCTCCCCTTTCTCCTGGTAATTAAAACCTTCTCACTGTCCCCAGGATTTGCATAGACATTAACAGCAGGGAACACAGTTTCCTGCTCTTAATGAAGCCAGTGTGGATCACAAAGCATCCAAGGAATAATGAGCAAAGGAAACCATGCAAACCTGCGATAGCGGGGACGATAGGTAGGATTCCTATGGACTTGTTGGTGAAGTTGTCCTCCTTCTGTGACCCCATCCTTGATTTCTCCCTCACCACCCTATAACCAAAAGAAAACAGAAGACAGTCAACAATGAAGCATTACCTTACTTCATGGACAGTATATTAACCATAAAGCCCAGAGATATGAATCTGAACACAAAACCAGTTTCAGTACTGAAGCACCAACAGATGAAGTAAAAAGAAGCAGATGATACTCAAAAGGCTTAAATCTGGACAAATATAAGCGTAGGATAAACAAATATTCACAGAAACTCCCATCAACTAAGTAATAAGTAGTAATAACAGGCAGCACCTGACAGAAGTTGAAAAGTATCTGAGACATTCAGAACCTGAAACAAAAGTTACACTTCTAAGCTTAGAACAACATTATACTACTTCTGTCTACTTTTGAATACCAATCTGTCCTGTTTCTATCAACACCCTTTATACTAAATAACTTTAATAGACCTGTGATGGATGGTTAGAAATGTCACAAACAGCAAGATGAGAAATAGCATAGCCAGCACTGTATGTGACAACCATGATTCAGATGTCTTGGGATTTGTCTTTTGTGAAGCAAGACGCTAACGTTGCTCCTGCTCTCACTCTCTCAGTCATGTGAGGACTACCAAAGCACAGAAACAGGAAAACAGAACAGCAAGATATAAAGGGAAGAGAGGGCACAAAATGAAAACAATCCTGAGTGTGTTCCAGCATAGTTGTCATTTCTCCAGAATTTCTGAGCAAGCACAAGACATCATTGCTCAGTTCTAGCTCTGCAATACTAGAAATACAGAATTAAAGACCTAGTAGGTCTCCTCTGAGGGACAATGTGCCAGAAGCTAGTAAAGCAGCAACCAACCTAATTGTAGGGAGGAGCATACACCAGTGTGTTTTGTTGGTTTTGTTTGTTTGTTTTTTAACCAAAGCTCTCCTGTAGCACTTGACACTCAGCATCACATGCAGAGCTCTTTAAAAGGCAGTATTGGGCTGTGCTATTAAAAACATGTAGAAGTTCAAATCCACTCCTCCCTACAAAGGGCCACATTGCAATCTCAGATAAAAAGGACTCTCTCTAGAACTGGTGAAGCATTACTCAAAACCAAAGCAAACTTTTTCTATTAACCTTGAACCGAATGTTGCTATGTCAGTATTTTAAATTGGTTTGGCTTAAACAATCAGTTGAAAACAGAATAGTAAAGCAACTGAATTGCTTAGCCTGTAAGTCCTGACAATTTTCCACATGTTCTATAGTAGCACAAAAATTCACTTGACACATTACATTACACTGTCAATTGACCTAGGTCTATTGTTCAGAAGTGAAGATGGCTCCAGGATAAAACTATGCTGTCAGAAGTCAACAGAATCAATGCAGAACAGAACCTGAGCATTGAGGTCTTATGCTTACTATCAGTAAACATTAGATTTATTTATTAGGAAAGCTACATCTGTACTCCTAAAAGCACCACACATCACATCTAGCACATACATAATCCCATTCACTCAATCTCCTTCACAGGAACCTTCCAACTCAGTGAAATACCTTCTAACAAAGCAACCCTAAAAAGGTTAGAGAACACCTAAAAAGGTACAGAATTTTATTGCTGTCCCCCAAATACCAGTTTCTTTAAGCATTAACTGTTTAATTAAAGCACAGTGAGCTTTTTACTCACCTGCTTCCCCAGATTTCTTTATCTGTTCTTGCATCTCTTCAGATCAGTCTAGTTTTGTATAATATTATTATTTTTTTTTGTGTCTCCTCTCTACAAGAAACAGCATCAGCCTATAAAACAACTTTTAAACTATTTAGCTTATTTTCTGACTCATAGGTATAGAGGCTTCTTCTAACATGTACCTGAGGGTACTATTAGCCCTCAAGGTTATTCCATGATTCATTCTCTGTTCTAACATTCTGCCTACAACTCCACACAATGTCTATGTTGTTAGTGAAGAGCACAGCCTCTTTTCTGTAGTGTCTACAATTAAGAAGCTTCTAATATGAACAATTACTTTACTCTGAACTTATCAAGCAATCCAGAAGCCGTTCCCACTAGAGCAAATTGAATACCTTGGATTCCCCAGGGTTCTCTTCATTCTTGAGAAAAATCACACAGTATGGTCAAAACCAGACTCAGTAACTTATAAAGTACAGGCACATGTGAACTAGCATGGCAAACACAGGATAGCATTATTAGTTAACCTAAAACCATGCCAGTAAGGAAGGAGAAACCAACTCTTACTGTGTTACACAAGGCTGGACTGGATTTGCCAACTGACATCAATTGAAAGTTCTTGAAATCTAGAAGGCCACCATGTCAGAAAGTCACCTCAATAAATTCAACTTTTTTGTTAGTAAGCACAGGATTGATGATGTGGGCAGCAGAGCTCTAGGAACACCTTTGAGCTCTGCAGCCTAGAAGATCTTTAAGCATAGCACGCTTGGGAACACAGAAACCCTTTCCTTCAGATATGCATTAAGAGTTGTCTATAGCTAAGTTAACATCCTTTCAAACACAGCCCAAGAATGCCATACCATCAGCAACTGAAACTTGCCTCAGAAGTATCCAGCAGGACAGTTAGCCAAGAAAAACCTCCTCAAGCAGAGGGGCACAACCTTTAATGCATGTACTAATGTGACCATACAGAACAGTGTACACATACTACTATGGCTCACAGACATTGCTACCTCTCTTCCCCCTTTACACACATGGGAATGGAAGGGGAAAGAGAAGACCTTTTTAAAAAGTTATCAGAAAGAAGAATCTTTCTAGATAGACACACAGCTTCAATGTGAAGAATGTTTTAACTGGTGCAAATGAAAGACCTCCAAAAGGAAGTACTGCTAGCCTGAGATGAGGATTCATTCTACTCTCAGCTGATCTACCAAAGCAAGCACACAGGGGATAACAATATCTGCACAAGTTTGAGTGGTTTCACTCACCTACACTAGGACAATTTCAGGGACAGCCCCTGCCCAGCCCTTCAGTCTCTGCTTTAGTCCCTCAATAAAGACAGCTGAGGGAAATTTTAATCTCAGTAGAGCAAAAGGGAAAAAAAAAAAAAGAGCGTAGCCAGCAGGACCAGCAAAGCAATCATTCCCCTGTACTCAGCAGAGGCGAGACCGCACCTTGAATCCTGTGTTGAGTTCTGGGCCCCTCACTACAAGAGAGACACTGAGGTGCTGGAGCAGGTCCAGAGAAGGGCAGAGCTGGTAAAGGGTCTGGAGCACAAGTGTGATGAGGATCAGCTGAGGGAACTGGGATTGTTTAGTCTGGAGAAGAGAAGGCTCAGGGGGGACCTTATCACTCCCTACAACTACCTGAAAGGAGGCTGTAGTGAGGTGAGGATCAGTATCTTCTTCCTGACAACAAGCAATAGGACAAGAGGAAACAGCCTCAAGCTGCACCAGAGGAGGTTTAGGCTGGATATGAGGAAAAATTTCTTCACTGAGGTGCTCAGGCATTGAACAGGCTGCCCACGGCAGTGGTGGATTCACAGTCTCTGGAAGCGTTCATAAACAGTGTAGATGAAGACTGTAGTGGTATAGTTTAGCAGTGGCCTTGGCAGTGCTGGGGAATGGCTGGACCTGATGATCTTAAAGGTCTTTTCCAACCAAGCTGATTCTATTCTCTGATTCTATGACAACATTTGTTCCATTTGCTCCCTTACTGTCAACTCTGTAGAGCAAGATGAGAAGAGGGTTGTGTTGCTTGGGCAGACTTCCACCAGGGCTTTCCTATTGGATCAATCACCTATTTCTGAAAGTGATGATCACAGACTCAACTATTAAAGAACAGGTAATCAAGCCTGGGGTACGTTCCAGTTTGTTGGCTTGTTCCAGACACAAATTTAGCATAAGCATAATGTGCACAGAAGTAGTAACTGCTAGAACTACAGCTGTGTAGCTCACACTTACTTCTCCCTCTGCAAAAACCTGAAGGGAAGCTGCTTCTGGGAGATTGCAGATGTTATGAACAGTGGTGTAGCTAGTTTGAAGAAAGAAATAAAAGGCTTTATCTTTACACTGAACTGCTGTAGGCAGAGGTCTCTGAAGGGATGGCACATGGAGGTTTCAACTAGCTGGCCAAACTACTACCGTATTACACAAAAGTGATGAACTTTTAAACAAATCCCATTTTCAAAGTAGCCCTTTTCAAGTTATGGTTATACTACTTAGAATAATATAAATACTTTTCCTTGCTGCAGGTAAAGGTCATGGTGAACCACTTCTGTGTCTTACTCCTTTGTGTTTGTTCTTTGACACAGATACTTTTGACACCCAAAGGAATGCTTTTAGCACATTTTACACAAATATGCCAAGGAAAGGCCTACAGGACACCCAAAAGTAGAAAATATCAGTATCAGCATCAACAAAGGAGGAACCCAGACTACCACCACAGAAAACTCACAACTTTGTTCCACATTAGCTGTTTATTATATGCTAGTGCAGAACCTGTAGCTCCCTCTCATGAGAGGACTGCAAGACTGCTGAGGAAGTGGGATGACCACCACTGCAGAAATTAAGACTTACACTTCGAGGTGGTCCACGGCGTCGGCCAAAATAGCCACGGCGATAGCGGCGCCGGTCTGCAGCATAACGGCTGCCTTCTACAGGGACTCCATCTGGACCAGTGACATTAGCTGCTTCTGCACCCTGAAAAGCCAAAGGAAAGTCAATCAAGATGATGTGAGAAAAGAACAATCAGCTACAGGGAGAAGGTGAAACAGTTCCAAAGATCAGAGATTCCTTCCCTCCACATCGGGCAAAAGCAAGTTTGTTGTTCTCAACCCATAACGAAGAGTTACCAGAATTAAGACCTTATCAGGCAGGCTGAGTTAAGAGGAAAAATACAGAACTTTAAAGCAAACAAGCAAAACAAAAGGAAAACCAACCACAAAAAAAATTGGAAAAACTCAAAAAGCATTTGAGAAAGTAGAAACACAAAAACCTTTAAGGTTCTTACAGTTATTAAGCTACCAGACACCAAGACAAACTCTTCAGGGTAATATATTCCTTAGTTAATGTTTACTGGGCAGGCTGCAAGCTTCAAATGTTCTACGAAATAAAAATTACAGGTTCTAGAAGCCCTAGGATGTAGTAATGAATTCTTGATATGTATCTAAAAATATTTCTTTATGAAGCCTTTAAATACAGATCTTCCACAGAAAAGCTATATGAATGCCACCCACCCCAGGGATTAACAGATTAGACAAAAAACACCAGATACATTGAACCATAACTGTGTAACTCTTTACTACAGTGATGTTACCTCTGCTGGACTACAGCTCAAAGTCCCCATTATCTCTTACCTTCTCTCCTTCAACCACATCAAATTCTACAGTCTCTCCATCCCCAACACTACGCAGGTATTTCCGTGGGTTGTTTTTCTTTATCGCCGTCTTTAAAGAAAGAAGATAGAGAAAAATGTACTATTTCATCTTACCTACACATTCGTAGCCCTCTAAATGAGGGAAGGGCAGTATTCCTTTGCTACAGTCACACCACCAAGATATTTTAAACATACAAGTGCTACTGATCTTCTTACATAAGCTTTACTACACATAGATCTAAAGAGAAACATGAAACTTATGAAATTTTTAGATACAGTCTGCTAGTTGAGTATTATCAAAGATGATCAGAGTGCTGGAGCGCCTCTTCTACAAGGACAAGCTGAGAGAGTTGGGTCTGTTCAGCCTGGGGAAGACAAGGCTCAGGAGACACACCTTAGAGCAGCTCTCAGTACCTAAAGAGGCCTAAAAGAAATCTGGAGAAGGGCTTTTTGCAAAGGTACGTAGGCACAGGACAAGGGGAAATGGCTTTAAATTGACAGAGGACAGATTTAGATTAGATCTCTGGAAGTTCCTCCCTGTGATGGTGGTGAGCCACTGACACAGGTTGCCCAGAGAAGACGTGGCTGCCCCATCCCTGTCAGTGTTCAAGGCCAGGTTGGATGGAGCTTGGAGCAACCTGCACTAGTCGAAGGTGTCCCTGCCCGTGGCAGGGGTTTGGAACTGGATGAGCTTTAAGGTCCCTTCAAACCTAAACCACTCTGTGAGTGTGAGAGATGCCTCCTTTATTCCACAGGCCTTCCGATATGCAGTCAAAGTTTACTCCTTTCTCAACACAAAGTTTACAAACTGGCTGTTGCCCCAAGATCCCCTCTGTCAACCCCACCAAAGATCCAGATCAGCACATATTTCTGTATGAACAGTGTTCACACTCAGTGTCTGATCTCCAACAAGCTGTACCAAGGCAGCTCCAGCAGCAAGTGTGCCCCATGCCTTCATTACCACTAGGAGACCTCTACACAATCTACAGAAAACTTAAGAGCAGGAGCATTTTTGTAGAAGATGGCATTAACTATAAGGCATCAGGGCAACTCGTAGTAACTAGAGTAGAATTACTATAACTCTAGTGTAACATAAATAAGCATTTTACTACCTAAGCACTGCAAGGTTAAAAAAAAAAAACTTGCCAAAAAAATTAGGCAAGTCACTGAAGAACACAGGAATAGTACAAGAAGACAGAGTCACCAAGACAGAAACCCCAAAATAATCCAAAGCCAATATTGCTAATAGTAAAATGGTTGAAAACCTCCTCAGACTCCCAGGAACACTCAAGCCTCCTGAAGTAATTTTCAGTCTGTCAAGTACAGATGCTTTTCACTCTGGGGAGTATTTCCAGGATTCCACAGAAGGCAGTTAGAAGGGCAAGCCTACCATCTCTCAGATAAGGGTACACAAACTGGAAGAGGCCAGGGGAGAAGAAACCCAAACAAAAAATGAACTACACACACGTAAGCTAACCTAGCAGCCTGCTTTTTACTAAAGTTCTCTTAAAGCGAGCTGGTCTTTAATAACCCAAGTGTCCTTTGTTAGCATAAAAGAACCAGGTGCAGATCTAGTACCTAGAAGCACATGACAATACACTTCCTCCACTTTAAGAAACTGGATGCAGAGCAGAAACAGAAGAGAACTGTCACATTTGTTTGCAGTTCAACAAAAACAGGCAGAATGAAGACCAGCTGAATTGTTGCCTGTGCATGGCAACTGTATTCATTAAGTCAACAACAGCCCAAAAATATTTCCCACTGAAGGAAAAAAAAAAAGCTGAGCTTGACCAGTTTAGGAAAAGTATTCTCATTGTTGCTGAATAGTCCCCTTTGCCCAACAGGCCAGCATGCTCTTCTAGCCCTACATCAAGCCACACCTTTCCCTGTATCCCACAGTGTCTCTAAAAGGCTTAAGGAAGAATGGAAGAGTACATATATTATTGCTATCAAAGCAAGAATAACCCACGAGACTGTTGGTTTGGGATGGGGATGAGGATGTGCTGATACAGGAAGAGAATGAGCTGCTCAAGTGAGCTGTTCTGGGAACTACTTTAGCAAGCAGTGTCTCCCACCATCAGCTGAGACAGCTCTGTCTACTTTCTGCTGACCTACCAGTGTAACCACCCCATGTCTAAAAATCAGCTGGAACTGATGGCTTTTCCATAACTGCTGTATACTAACAGTGATTATCTTCACTGCAGAGTAAGGGTTCTGTTCTTTCACTATCACTTGTACTGAGAAACTGGCTCAAACTCTTCAGATTTGTGCTCTGCATATGACAGATGTCAACAACCTGTATTTTAGAACTCCTTCGCCTTCCGAGTGCAGAGGAAAAAACGACTACAAGATTATTCAGTAGAGGTTGTACTTCAGACTAATGAAGCTTCTCAAACATCCTCCAAGAAGGGTAACGGAAGATGAATTCAACAGGATTACACATGTTCCATTCCAAGTTTATGGACAGAAACTTCAGAAATTCAGGTTTGCAACTGACCAACCTGCCAGCTGGAGACAGAGGCCGCCACACAGCAGGCTGCAGTTTGTTTCATAAATGCAAACAAGAACAATTTTGCGTAAATCCTAGACTTCAGAACAGCAACTATACAGCTTTACTACTTACTACTTCAGCTGCAGGCAAACAATGCTGAAATAAGCTTCTAATAAGCCGATGCTCTAAGCTTGACAAGAAGAGTTTTACTCTGTATATCTAGAAGGGAGAGAGCTCTATTCTCCCCATTACTGTTTCCTGCAGGTTCCTAGTTCTTTGATTCAAAAGACAGGTGTTTTGTGTTAACACAGACAGACCTCAACAATTAAGACAAAGCCCTTCCTTTCCCAAGGGAACACTGATGAACAGCCATGAAAGTTTTCAGAGCTAGTTCAGTATTTTGCTTAGAAGAGTTCTTTTCATATCGTCCTACTGCCCCATCATGTGCACATCCAGCATTGCCACAGCAATAGCCAACGTTTGTTACACCAGTTACTGTGCATGACAAATACTATCCAGTGACAGTATGGTCCTCCTCACTGCTTGTTGATTCAAACTATGCCTAATTAAGCTGGACTTCTCTGGCTACTGACACTTTTACTGGTGTTAAACTGCAAGATCCTCCTCTCC